GTTGGGGGGGGGGGGAGACACAAGTCACTTTAACAGCGCCCCAACAAATGTATATTATCTATATTATCTATAGTTACCCACTACTTTGAGAATACTGAAGTGCTCTCTTCATTATCCCTTCATCAAATCGGATGGCCTTTCCATTGTCTATGGTAATCACAGCAGTCTTAAAAGGGAACAGGTCCGGATTTGGTGATCCAGTAGCCAAGGAGATGACCGATTTTGGCGCACTGCTCAGTAAGTCAGCTACAATAAATATGGAAGAGAGTAAGAAACATTATATTGAAAACGTTCCTAGTTCAGTATGTTCCTAGTTCAGTATCACACTCAATAAAACTGTCACAATTCCCAGTGATAGGATGCTAATCTAAAATAAACATAAGTTTGTCTGGACCTACCTCACTGGCGGAGGAACTAGGGAATGGAGTTGCCCAACTAAGCCGGCAGAGGGATCAGCAAGATACACAAAGGGCCACAATAACAGAAAACGCTGCTCCATTTAGTCCCCACCTGCCCGCCGGCCTCGTGGCTCACGCGTTTCTCTCCCGCGGACCAGCCCCGCCCCACTCGCGCGCGGCTGCACCCCGGGTCTGGCCCCCCCGGGCTGGGAAGAGCCTTCCTAGACAGCAGGCCTCCGCGGCCGCGTCCCTAACACCCGCTCCTCTCTCTAGCGCTGCTCCTTCCCCCGCCGGTCCCAGCCCCAGGGCGCGTTCGCACCCGGAGCCCGATTCCCCGCGAGCCTTCGCTGCTGAATGGATGGCTGCCCAGAGGGGTGACTGTGGGCACCACCCGGAGGCTCTGCGAGCCCCCAGCCCCACCCGAGGAGAGACGCAGCCCCAGCACTCACTCAAGATCCGGATGGGAGAAGGCTTCCTTGCGGCGCTCCTGGCGGTGATGAACCGTGCGTAATTCATGTCTGGGATACCCGGGCACCAAGCACTTCAGAAGCTGGAAACTAGAACAACCCAACAGCCGCGTCAGGGGCCACCCCCTGCTCTCGAAACGTCACCTCGATAAAGCCCGGGCCGAGTTCTCGAGCGCAGTGCGGGGCTGCGCGCAGCGCTGGGAGCCGGGTCCCGACCTGGCCGGGGGAGGCTGGCAAGGCTAGCAAGGTCCACGCTCCGAGGGACTGTCCGCTCGCTCTCGCCAGCCCGCACCCCACG